TCTGTCCGATTGTAAGAGAGATTATCTGTAGGATTTAATGGATCTGTCTGATTGTAGGAGAGATTATCTGTAGGATTTAATGGGTCTGTCTGATTGTAGGAGAGATTATCTGTAGGATTTAATGGATCTGTCCGATTGTAGGAGAGATTATCTGTAGGATTTAATGGATCTGTCTGATTGTGGGAGAGATTATCTGTAGGATTTAATGGTTCTGTCTGATTGTAAAAGAGATTATCTGTAGGATTTAATGGATATGTCTGATTGTGGGAGAGATTATCTGTAGGATTTAATGGGTCTGTCTGATTGTGGGAGAGATTATCTGTAGGATATAATGGATCTGTCTGATTGTGGGAGAGATTATCTGTAGGATTTAATGGATCTGTCTGATTGTAAAAGAGATTATCTGTAGGATTTAATGGATCTGTCTGATTGTAAAAGAGATTATCTGTAGGATTTAATGGATCTGTCTGATTTGTAAGAGAGATTATCTGTAGGATTTAATGGATCTGTCTGATTGTGGGAGAGATTATCTGTAGGATTTAATGGATCTGTCTGATTGTAAGAGAGATTATCTGTAGGATTTAATGGATATGTCTGATTGTGGGAGAGATTATCTGTAGGATTTAATGGGTCTGTCTGATTGTGGGAGAGATTATCTGTAGGATTTAATGGATCTGTCTGATTGTGGGAGAGATTATCTGTAGGAATTAATGGATCTGTCTGATTGTGGGAGAGATTATCTGTAGGATTTAATGGATCTGTCTGATTGTAAAGAGAGATTATCTGTAGGATTTAATGGATCTGTCTGATTGTAAGAGAGATTATCTGTAGGATTTAATGGATCTGTCTGATTGTGGGAGAGATTATCTGTAGGATTTAATGGGTCTGTCTGATTGTAGGAGAGATTATCTGTAGGATTTAATGGATCTGTCTGATTGTGGGAGAGATTATCTGTAGGATTTAATGGATCTGTCTGATTGTAGGAGAGATTATCTGTAGGATTTAATGGATCTGTCTGATTGTAGGAGAGATTATCTGTAGGATTTAATGGATCTGTCTGATTGTAGGAGAGATTATCTGTAGGATTTAATGGATCTGTCTGATTGTAGGAGAGATTATCTGTAGGAGTTAATGGATCTGTCTGATTGTAGGAGAGATTATCTGTAGGATTTAATGGATCTGTCTGATTGTGGGAGAGATTATCTGTAGGATTTAATGGATCTGTCTGATTGTAAGAGAGATTATCTGTAGGATTTAATGGATCTGTCTGATTGTGGGAGAGATTATCTGTAGGATTTAATGGATCTGTCCGATTGTGATCTGGATCTGTCCGATTGTGGGAGAGATTATCTGTAGGATTTAATGGATCTGTCTGATTGTGGGAGAGATTATCTGTAGGATTTAATGGATCTGTCTGGTTGTAGGAGAGATTATCTGTAGGATTTAATGGATCTGTCTGATTGTAGGAGAGATTATCTGTAGGATTTAATGGATCTGTCTGATTGTAGGAGAGATTATCTGTAGGAGTTAATGGATCTGTCTGATTGTAGGAGAGATTATCTGTAGGATTTAATGGATCTGTCTGATTGTAGGAGAGATTATCTGTAGGAGTTAATGGATCTGTCTGATTGTGGGAGAGATTATCTGTAGGATTTAATTTGTCTGTCTGATTGTGGGAGAGATTATCTGTAGGATTTAATGGATCTGTCTGATTGCAGGACAGATTATCTGTAGGATTTAATGGATCTGTCTGATTGTGGGAGAGATTATCTGTAGGATTTAATTGAACACTTCAGATTGCTTTTTGTGACTGGATCTGGATATTTCCTCCACAGTTTATAAAAGTGCTGACGTCAATGGAAATCAGAATGTTTAAAATTGAGGCTACCTTGCTGTCACTGACAGACATTAGCAGTAACTCAGACACTGACAATGACTCAGACACGGTTTCATTTTCAATCAGATGTAACTTACTTTAGATATTTTTATCTCCTGCTCTGTAAATTGAACTTTAATCACGCACAGTAGACTGTTGCATGGTCAAGGGGCTATTAACAGTACAGTGTCAATTTTGTCAACTAACATTTTTGAGATTTAGTCAACTAAAACAATTCAGATGACTAAAATAACTTTGTGCCCAAATTAACACTGCAGTACAGAATATGCAATAAAGGAAGTGTAAACATTAGATTTTTCTTTACAGGAAGTGTTCAGGGAGGCTGTGTATGTCACATGCCGGGAGGTGTGGCTAGGGCTCTATAAACAGAGTGATTTAACTCCTAAATGACAGAGAATTGAGCAGTGAGACTGCAGGGCCATGATCTATACATTGTAACCGCTTCATTAAGCTAAGTGTCCCTTTAATGTCAATTCACACAGCCCATTTAAGGTTCAGCTGATCCAGCTTAGTTTATGATTCTGTTTGTATTCTAAAACATGTTGTGACTGCATGCTCTTATCATACACTTTTTATTCTGTGCACATACAGTCCTGAGGCCAATTTGAGACATGTCCATTCACCAGTGAGAAGTATGGAAACAAAGAGAGCAGATCTGGTGAGTGTTTAATACAGTGTGTAGTAATTTCACGTCTCCCATTCTACCGTATCTCAGTGAAGCAGTTTTGGTGTATAGATCAGTCTTACTGCTCAATTCTCTGTCATTTTACTGGCATGACCGGTCTTCTCAAACTATGCTAATTACTATTCACCACATTGTAGTCCACAGTGAATATGGGCAGATTAACCCCTTATTGGGGATATTCAGTGGAGTCTTCAGATCGTTAAATATCCAGACTGCAAATTGCAGACATAGTTCTCACAATTTAACAGTCTCGGATTTTGCAATGCTGGCTCAAAATGAACCAGAATTTCAGCCTCTCTAGATGCGACCTCATAGTGTAATTTTAATAAGACTGGCAGGAGCACACCGCTAACCAGATTTTTAAATGGTACTTGCATCAAATAAAGTGTGGGGGGCACATAATAGGACGTTAGCATTACGAATGCAGATTTTTACCGCTAAAGATTTAGTGCTTCTTTAACTTTGCAATAAATTTCATATTTTAAATGCTCTAATAAAACTTATATTTTATTAAGCCTTGCATATAATCTGCTTAACTACAAAAAGTCCCCCAAATCACAAATAATACCAGGCATATCTTTTTCCTTTTCTCTGTATAATATAACATTGGAATTATAATAAATTGTCTTTCTTTAAACGATCGATGTTTTTTCATGCAGATAGTTGCTTCATGTGGGATTGCCACGTTCTTGCCGGCTGTATACCTCAAATCGTTCTGGTTCTGATTGGCCAATTTCTGTCGATGGAGACTTTGTGGATTCATATGGAAAAGGTAAAGGAAAGAATCTTATTTTGCAAACAGTAATTTTATGTCACCCAACTTATCTGAGATTAGGGTCACATAGCAGCAACCCTGCACTGACTTTTCCTTACTAGTGAACAATATTCAGATTAGATGTTTTGATTTTATCTCGATGTATAGAGTGTCCACCATCTCCGGCAATCTTCCGTTCTATTGGAAGTAGCTATATGGCTATAACACATTTTAAAGTCTATAAAACTGTATGAAATTGTAATAAATGAAAGGGCCAGCCATATGCTAAAAATATAATAGTATTCGTAATCTAGTTAAAGTGCACCATCCGCTTAAATGGACAATTTGTATAGATTTGTGTCTGACACGGCACAAGATCCCTGTTTAATAACGTATGCAGTGTCGATCAATATCCTGCCAGTCACAGCGTGACGTAAACACGCTCAAGGTGAGCCTTTTTGGGGAAAAGTGTGGTTGCTATGGTGACAACTTACAGTGTGGCTAGTCTGCGAGTGGTTGGCGTTAAAGATGGTTAGCCATAATTAATGGTGTTAAATGTGGTTAGCCATGGTTAATGGCGGTAATGGTGGTTAATTATGGATAAATGGCGGTAATGGTGGTTAGCCATGGTTAATGGAATTAATGGGGGTTAGCCATGGTTAATGGAGTTAAAGATGGTTAGCCATGGTTGATGGAGTTAAAGATGGTTAGCCATGGTTAATGGTGTTAATGGTGGTTAGCCATGGTATGTCAAACCATCTACCGACCAGTTGGACCACCCAGGGGAGTTGTGTGCCTCCAATTGTTGAGCCAACTAAGTCTGCAGGCAGAATCCCTTCAAACTCTATGTATAGTGATTATATGACTGACAGGGACCCCTCAGTCTCTATACATGGATTACATGACCGGCAGGGATCCCTCAGTCTCTATGCAGTGATTATATGACGGCAGGATCCCCTCAGTTTCTATACAGTGATTACATGACTGGCAGGGTCCCTCAGTCTCTATATAGTGATTATATAACTGGCAGGGTCCCCTCAGTCTCTATACAGTGATTATATGACGGCAGGGTCCCCTCAGTCTCTATATAGTGATTAAATGACCGGCAGAGTCCCCTCAGTCTCTATATAGTGATTATATGACTGTCAGGGTCCCCTCAGTCTCTATACAGTGCCTATATGACCGGCAGGGTCCCCTCAGTCTCTATACGGTGATTATATGACGGCAGGGCCCCCTCAGTCTCTATATAGTGATTACATGACTGGCAGGGTCCCCTCAGTCTCAATACAGTGATAATATGACCGGCAGGGTCCCCTTAGTCTCTATACAGTGATTATATGACAGCAGGGTCCCCTCAGTCTCTATATAGTGATTATATAACTGGCAGGGTCCCCTCAGTCTCTATATAGTGATTATATAACTGGCAGGGTCCCCTCAGTCTCTATACAGTGATTATCTGACTGGCAGGGTCCTCTCAGTCTCTATACAGTGATTACATGACCAGCAGGGTCCTCTCAGTCTCTATATAGTGATTGTATGACCGGCAGGGTCCCCTCAGTCTCTATATAGGGATTATATAGGTTCAAAAAGGCTTTATTCAAACATAAGCATTTCAGGTTTTGCTCTGATCAATGTACAACAGCATGTATCTATAGATTGAACAAGCAGACAGGGTATAACGGACTCGCAGGTCCCAACGTAGAATGTGTGAGCATCACTCAAACAATGTTACATAGTATACCTATATGGTACTTGATCGTGGTTAACACATTAGAATATACATATGGGTGACCGGTTTGTAGCTCGAGTAGAGGAGTATTCGTAAGTTTGTACCTGCGTTTTGTGTTCCTTTAATATTTCCTTATCACCCCTGGGCCTCTTTCTCTTTGGGATGGTAAGGGCTAGTGGTCTGTCGTTATAGGTCAGTTGCCGTTCATGAGTGTGCCTTATTCGTGTTGTGTGATCTCATGATAGAGGTGTTTGTTTCCATTTTGATATGTAAGTGTGAGTGACTGACACAGCTGTTAGCAATCTCGGGTTGAGGAGGGCTGCGTTTGTTATTCAATTTGTATAGAAACCATTGTTGGAGAGTTTAGAAAGAAGATGAGTGATAGATGAGTAAGAGGTAAGAGAAAGAGAGAGGGGGGATGAGGAGGAGGGAGCGGGTTGGAGGAGGGATGGGTAGGGAGGTGTGAAAAGGAGGGGGGGTCCCATCGCCCGTGCCCATGGTATTGCACGTATCTTATCAGATGTCAGTCCCCATCTGTAGGGGGGCGCGGGGTTCCCTGGGGCTGTGGACGGCTAGTCCTATCTGTGCTTCGGTCCGCTATATAGAATAGCCATGGGCGCCACCTCTCCACATGCTTGTCCTCGAGACCCATAAGTGTAGCCTGCATTGATTCCGCTCTGTATATTTCTTCCACACGCTCCATCCATTGATATTCGTTTGTTTCCAGTATAGCGGAATCAGTGCCTTGGCCGCGTTAATTAGGTGTCTGCGAATGTTTTTCCTATATGTTCCTATGGGGTCTAGTGTGGAGTGCAGAAGGACCGCCTCTGCGTTGAGATTTCCTTCCGTCCCTGTGATTTCCCCTATTTTCTGTAGAACTTCGTCCCAGTATGGCTTAATGAGTGAGCATTCCCACCATATGTGTAGTGGCGAACCACGTTCATCCCCGCATCTCCAGCATGTGTCAGGTATATTCGGGAAGATCCTGTGTAGACTGTCGGGCGTTCTTTACCAGAATGAAAGGAGTTTATAGTTAGTTTCTTGATATTGGGAGCTCGATGAGCATTTATGATGTAGTATGAGGATCTTATCCCATTGGGATGTGGTGAAGGATGTATTCAGCATGCGTTCCCAGCGCCTGCGGAATTGGTCGTTGTTAGTGAGGTGCCCCACGAGCATGTGCTGGTATAATAGGGATATCGCCTTATCTAGGGTAGTCTTGCGGTCGCAGAGCGTTTCGAACCTGGTTAAGTCCCTATGTAGCTTTTCCTTGTCTGGAAGTGTCCGATAGTATGATTGGAGTTGTACATAGCGAAAGGTTTGTAGGCTGGTGGGTTGGTTGCCTTCCAGTAGGTCCCACAGGGGGGTCATGTCTGTGTTGGTTAACACCTTATGTATGGGGAGTGATTCCCCCTCTCCCAGGAAGGACCATGCTGCCTGTGGTAGCCCTCCTCCTATCTGAGGGTTGTATTGTATCTGGGTCATCGGGCTTGGTGTTTGAGAGACGTGAGGAGCTCTTCTGATACAATCCCACGCTTTCAGTGTCTGCGCAACGGTAGAGGATTGTTCCAAAATCGTCCGTGGCATCCTCTTCGTATTTCACACTGATGTCAGAAAGGAGGGGCCTATATGTTGTTTGTCCAATTCGATCCATTGTTTATGCTCCGGTTGAGTATGCCACTCCAGTACGCGTTGTAGTACTGTCGCATGGTGGTATTTGCGGAGGTCGGGGAGCGCCAGTCCCCCCATGCTCGAGGTAAGCAGAGGACGTCCTGTCGGAGTCTTGCCTGTTTCCCACTCCAAACGAACTTCACCATCGCGGAACGGAGTGACGCGAAATATGCCGTCGGTAGAGCTTGCGGAATCGTCTGATATAAATATAATAGCCGTGGTAGGATATTCATCTTAAGAATTGCGATTCGCCCGAACCACGAAATGTGTGGGTATGTCCATGTTTTCAAATCCTGTTGGATTAATTGCAGCAGTGGTAAGAAGTTTGTTCGGTACATGTCACCCAGGTCTCTGGTAATTGCGATACCTAGGTACTGCATGTGGTTTGCGCACCATCTAAACGGAAACTGGTTTTTCAGTACGTTTGTTTAGGCCGTTGGAATGGTAATGTTGAGTACTTCACATTTATTCATGTTCAATTTGAATCCTGAGACCTCTCCGTTGTTCGTGATCATAGCGACTAAGTGGGGCATTGTTGCCTCCGGGTCCTTGATAAAAAATAGAAGATCATCCGCGTATGCCGCTACTTTGTGTGTGGTATTACCGCTTTTGAAGCCCATGATTGCATCCGATGTGCGCACCGCTTCTAGGAACTGTTCGAGAGCCAGGGCGAAGAGCATGGGGGAGAGTGGACACCCCTGTCTTGTCCCATTGTGGATCGGGAAGGAATCGGTAAGCGCTCCGCTTACTCTCACCTTTGCATTGGGGCAATGGTAGAGCGCATCAATCCATTTCATCATGTTCCCTCCGAAGCCCATTTCCCGGAGTGTGGTTACAAGGAATGTCCAATCAACCCGGTCGAATGCTTTTTCCGCATCCGTCGACAGTAGCAGGAGCTTATCCATTGATCTCTTTGCCAGGTGATGGATGGATTGTACTCTAAGGGTGCTGTAACAGAACCGCTGGCACCCCGACCGGGTACCTTCCGCCGACGGATGCTCCTAGTGCTTTCCGAGGACTCCAAGCACTCTGCCCGACAACATTACCGCTGCAGACCCCACGAACCGCCGCAGCTTGGTTGGGGTCTCGCCGTCTCCACCCACTCTGGACCCAAGACCAGGGTCCAGCTTCCAGTAGGTCGACCTCTCCGAATTCCAGAGAGCAGGAACAGGAACAAGCTCTTAGCAGAGCTTAGTGATTATACCCTGGGGAGTATAGTGATTATAGCAATCCCCAGAGTGTAGTTTCTCCAATCCCCCAAACATGAGCCGAAACTTCATGAAGGTACAAGATGATCTGACTCCAATGAGCGTTTATTACTCCTTATATACAAGTTTTCAGGTCAGAGGCACACCCCTGGACCTGGTGGTAAACTGTGACAAAAGGGACACAAACCAATGGGAACACTAATTAACATGATAACACTCTCACATACACAATGAAATCCCTCCTCTCCATCCTGGAGATAATTGGCTTAAGGCACTGCAGTAAACTCAATTATCTCCAGGTACAGAAAATATCTACATTTAACACTAACAGCAAAAATACGTGAAAGTACATAAAAATACATAATTCTTATTTTATTACACAGAACCCCCACATTTAACCTATCCCCAGATAGCTCGGATCTGAGCGCCCAATCTAGGTGAACAGCGCTCAGATCCCATGAACAGAGTAGATTTTCCACGAGGTAAAGCATAGCAAGGGCTGTTGAGAAACCAAGGAGGGACAAAAGCAGTCAGTTCCAACTGGTTTGGCAGTGTGCCTGGGACAACGCCCTGCTGGAGAACAATAGACAGGAAACGGGGGAGGGGAAGAAACACACCTTCCCATGGATTCAAATGGGAAGAAACTGTCTTTAGAAGCCAATAAGCCCCAAATAGTCTTTTTAAATGGCAATACACCCCAGGGCCATAGTCATGAGGAAGGAGGCTGGCAATCAGGCTCCTCCAAAAGCCGGGGGACAAAGGGCAGCTTGTCACCTAACAATCCAGGGACAAAAGGCATTTCGTCACACATCTCCCCTTTGGGGGGGAGACTAACCAGGTACCTGACCTGTCGGTCAGTGCCTGAGTTAGTCGATAAACCCACCCACAGTGAACAAGTACATGAGTAGCCCACCCACAAATAACAAGTGGCAAAGTAGCCCCCCCACAATAAACAGTACTGGCCGGTAGGTTCCAGGTTGTAGGATAAAAATGCAGCATCCTCGGCCTTCCTGGTGCAGCTGGGCAAATAGCTGGTGGTACTTGGGGGGCAAAGGCCAGCGGCGCTCTGCCCTGATGTCAGCTCTTGCGCTGGGATAGCCGGCAGAATGTCAAGCTCTGTACAAGGGTCGAAGGGAGGGCAGAGGCCAACTGCACTCTGCCCAGCTGCCAGCTCTTCCGCTTGTCAGGCTCTGGACAAGGGACACAGGGAGGGCAGAGGCCGACTGCACTCTGCCCAGCTGTCAGCTCTTCTGCTGGGGTGCTAGGAACATAGTCCGGCTCAGTAGCCAGGGGAACATGGGAGTCAGTGGGGGTTAACATCTCCTCTGTTAACCCTGGGGCCAAGTTAGGAGTTAGCTGGGGAGGGGAATTCGTACTTACCCCCTCCTCCTGTTGTCCCTGTGAGGGTAGTTGGGGATCTGGACAGGCTGTCCAGCATCCCTGTTGGTCGGGCACGGAGACCACGGTCCCCTCTGCACCATCTGGGAGAATGGTGTCTCCCCTTGGTAGGGTAAGCTGCCGCTGGGGAGATAGGGTGCTGTGCTCCTCTCCCTGAAACACAGTCTGCCGCTGGAGAGGGAGACCGCCTGTCTCCACTCCCATAACATTGTCATGCTGCTGGAGAGAGAGACCAACTGTCTCTGCTCCCGGTAGGACACACTGCTGCTGGGGGGGAAGGACGACACCCTCGGCCCCCTGGAATTCACACTGCCGCTGGGGAGGAAGGGCGACACCTTCGGCTCCCTGTAATTCACACTGCTGCTGGGGAGGAAGGACGACACCTTCGGCTCCCTGTAATTCACACTGCCGCTGGGGAGTAAGAGTGACTGTCTCAACTCCCAGTGATGATGGTTGCTGCAGGGACGAGGGACCGACAATCTCCTCTCCCTGGGATGCTGTCTGCCGCTGGGGAGAGAGACCGGTTGTCTCCTCTCCCTTGACAACCCACTGCCGCTGGGGAGTCAGAGCGACTGTCTCAACTCCCAGTGATGTTGGTTGTTGCAGGGACGAGGGACCGACAATCTCCTCGCCCTGGGATGCTATCTGCCGCTGGGGAGAGAGATCAATTGGCCACAGCCCTAATCTCCGCAATCGGAGCTCAAATTCCCATGCTGCTCGATTCTCCTCATCCAACTTGCGCATGGTTGCCAGAATCTGGTTAACCGCCTCTTGACCTCCTCCCTGTAAGCGTCGCCCTCAAAGCGATAGGTCATGTTTGCTGTGAACAGGGGCGCTGTACGAATACTAGCATTGCCCTCAAATTGTAATTCCAAATGTTACCGGTGCCTCTGCGCTGCTTCTCCTCGCACTAGGACGCCATCCCACCGCTGCCACCACTGTAACGGAACCGCTGGCACCCCGACCTGGTACCTTCCGCCGACGGATGCTCCTAGTGCTTTCCGAGGACTCCAAGCACTCTGCCTGACACCATAACCACTGCAGACCCCACGAACCGCCGAAGCTTGGTTGGGGTCTCGCCGTCTCCACCCACTCTGGACCCAGGACCAGGGTCCAGCTTCCAGCAGGTCGACCTCTCTCCCAATTCCAGAGAGCAGGAACAGGAACAAGCTCTTAGCAGAGCTTAGTTATTATACCCTGGGGAGTATAGTGATTATAGCAATCCCCAGAGTGTAGTTTCTCCAATCCCCCAAACATGAGCCAAAACTTCATGAAGGTACAAGATGATCTGACTCCAATGAGCGTTTATTACTCCTTATATACAAGTTTTCAGGTCAGAGGCACACCCCCTGGACCTGGTGGTAAACTGTGACAAAAGGGACACAAACCAATGGGAACACTAATTAACATGATAACACTCTCCCATACACAATGAAATCCCTCCTCTCCATCCTGGAGATAATTGGCTTAAGGCACTGCAGTAAACTCAATTATCTCCAGGTACAGAAAATATCTACATTTAACACTAACAGCAAAAATACGTAAAAGTACATAAAAATACATAATTCTTATTTTATTACACAGAACCCCCACATTTAACCTATCCCCAGATAGCTCGGATCTGAGCGCCCAATCTAGGCGAACAGCGCTCAGATCCCATGAACAGAGTAGATTTTCCACGGGGTAAAGCATAGCAAGGGCTGATGAGAAACCAAGGAGGGACATAAACAGTCAGTTCCAACTGGTTTGGCAGTGTGCCTGGGACAACGCCCTGCTGGAGAACAATAGACAGGAAACGGGGGAGGGGAAGAAACACACCTTCCCATGGATTCAAATGGGAAGAAACTGTCTTTAGAAGCCAATAAGCCCCAAATAGTCTTTTTAAATGGCAAAACACCCCAGGGCCATAGTCATGAGGAAGGAGGCTGGCAATCAGGCTCCTCCAAAAGCCGGGGACAAAGGGCAGCTTGTCACCTAACAATCCAGGGACAAAAGGCATTTCGTCACAGGTGCTATCCCTAGCCTCCCTCCCAGGGATGAACCCCGTCTGATCTGTATGGACCAATCTCGGGAGTATTCTTCCGATTCTGGTGGATAGTATTTTGGTGAGGAGCTTCACGTCCACATTTAGCAGTGATATTGGTCTATAGCTGCTGCAGAGTTCGGGATCTTTCCCCGGTTTCGGGAGGACCGTTATAGTTGCCGCTAGGGATTCGGGTCTGAACTGGGCGCCGTCCACCAAAGCGTTGAACGCGTTGGTGAGTTTCGGGAGCAGTATGTGAAAGGTAAATCTGCTACTCTGGTGACTCGGTCCCTCTGGTCACTATTCTCCAACCCTCGATTGTCAGCTGAATATTCAGGGAAGATTTTTATGGAAGCGTATTAACCAGACACACACTCTTTGCTTTCCATAATCTTCTGACAATGTATTCAAAATGCTCTGTATTTATACAATATTTGTCACGAATATTGGTTACAAAAGGTTACAAAAAGGTTACAAAAAGGTTACACAAGATACATAAAAGAGGAAGCAGTTTCTGCTGTTACATTCAATAATCTAAACTTACAAAATATCACATACACATTGTGGTTAGGCATTTCCTGATACATAGAAACTGTCATAGCTTGTGACTTCCTTTCAGTTATGTTTTGCAAGCAGTTCTGAAATACTGACAGATTAATTGTTTAACCCCTTAAGGACCAGATTTCTGGAATAAAAGGGAATCATGACATGTCATGTGTCCTTAAGGGGTCAATATTCCTTCAGTATGGTTCGGAATTTTTTATAATAGTCCAGGGTGAAGCCATCAGGGCCTGGGGCCCGACCCGTTTTGGCGGTCTTGATTGCTCCTGCCACTTCTGCCTCCGTGATCGGTGTATCCAGTAACTCTAGTTCCCCTTGCTGCAATCGCGTCTTCACGTGTGATTCGATGTAACTCCTTATTCTGTCTCGTCTGATTGCCATCTCCTCCGGGAGTGTAGGTCCCGGGATGTTGTATAACGAGGCGTAGAACGTGCGGAACTCGGATGCTATTTTATCCGGGAATTGTGTGATCGTGCCATCTGACGTCCGTAGCTTATGGACCTGGGTCATGCTCTGGGGGCCTCTAATCATTCTGGCCAGCAGACTCCCTCCTTTGTTGGCGTGTTGGTAAAAGAAGGCCTTCGAGCGCTGTATTGAGCTATAGTATCGAGTCGTCATGTGGGCATGGAGAGATCTTCGGGCTTCCAATAATTCTTTATATGTCTCCTCGAGATGGGAGCGTTTGTGTTGTATTTCGAGCTCATTTATGCGTGTTAATAGATCCGTCATATGTCTCCGAGATTCTCTTTTCTTCTTAGAAGCTAAGCGCATCAGTGTGCCCCTGAGCACACTTTTGTGGGCTTCCCATATCGTGGTCGCGGAGAGATCATCTGTATCGTTCAGTGCGAAATAGGAAGTGAGTTCCTCGGAGACCATTTCCTTCACCGCAGGGTCTAAGAGTAGGGAGTCCTGGAGTCGCCATGTCCTAGTGGATGGGCGCACCCTGGGGGAGTCCATTTGTAGGGTCACAGGTCCATGATCCGACCAGCTTGCCGATCCAATTTCTGCTTTTTGGATGGCGTCAAGGTGTTCCTGTTGAAGAAAGATATAGTCAATCCTCTCGTATCTCTTATGTATCACTGAGTAGTGGGTGTATCCCCTGTCCTCCGGGTGCATTGCGCGCCAACAGTCCACCAGCCTAAGGTTCTTAAGAGATTTCTGTATGCTTCGGAGGGCTCCTTGGGTGATGCTGCTGTGTCCCGTGGACGAGTCTATTAGAGGGATGAGGGGTACATTGAGGTCTCCTCCAACGATCAACGTGCCCTCTGTGAATGAGGAGAGATTTACGTATGAAGTGTGATTGGTTGTTGTTTGGAGCATAGATCGTCGCGAGAGTGTACCTACGGTTCTGTATGTCTCCCTTAAGGAACAGGTATCTGCCGTTAGGGTCAACCATCCGTTCCGCTTCCTGGAACTGTAGTTTAGTATGAGTGAGAACCGCTACGCCTGCCTTACGTGCAGTCGGGTGGTTGCTATGAGCCGCATTGGGATAGTGTTTGCTTTTCAACAGCGGAGCATGTCCTTCCTTAAAATGTGTTTCCTGTAGGAAAGCAATTGATATGTGCTTAGAGGATAGCTCCCGAAGGAGTTGCAATCTGCGCTCCGGGATATTTAGGCCCCTGCAGTTCATGGTTGTGACGCGTAAAGGATCAGGTTCGTAGGCCATTTGTGGTGGGTGGGGGCGGTTCACTATGACCTTTGACGGTTTGTTTACCCTTCTAAGCGGTGTCTGCTATCGAGTGTTGCCCCGTCCCCTTGGGAGTTCTGTAGGCACTAAGGCAATGGGGGGGATGAGGTAATCGTGGAGAGGCTGGGGGGGGGTGTTGGATCAGAGTCGTAGGGGGGATGAGGCAGGGGATAGAGAAGGGTTTGAGATAGAGTATGGAGAGTCCCCTGTCTGCGCGACTGTACAGGCAGGGGTATGAAGGTGAAGATGGGTTTACCGACTCCAGAGGGAGACGGTTACGGCACCTAGAAGTAGGTGTCAGAAATCCCTCCTGTGAGGGCTGGTTCGCGTGACCACGGCAGCAGTCGGGTCTGTCAGAGAATATCTAACGACCTCCAACTATCGACTCTCCGTGGTTCGAGTTTGTTCACGCGAACTTGTCGGGGGTTGGTGGTCGTGTCCTTGTGTTCTCACCAAATTAGGATGTGTTCACTGGTTGTCGTTTTAGGTATATAAGTCCGAGATTACCTAACGGGTGTGCCACCACTATGGGAGCATTCGAACGTCTTTTGCTCGTGTTAGTGTTAGTAATGGGCCTGATCTAGTGTCATCAGCGGCTATCAGTATTGTCGTTATTTGTAGCCTATCCAGGGGATATCGTGGGGGTGCGGGGGCGTGGGTCCCACCCCTTAATATTCCTTATTCGTCCCCTCCTCTGGTGCGATAAGGTGTGAGTGGTCGCAAGTTGATGTGGGTCACTGCACGGGCAAGGAATCGAGAGTTGTCAGTCGGGGAGTTTGACTAACGTAGTGTAACCGAGCAAAGGAGCGGTTGTGGGCGATGCGGTTAGTGCCAGGGTCAAAATCTATATCATGTCGAGGCTAAGTCCTGGGTCAGGAACATGAGCAGGGCGGTGCCCCGGTGGGTCGTGTTTGTCGTGTGGTCTACGGGATGTTAGGCTAAGCCTGGGGGGAAGTGGGATCATCACCATCCATTTCAATGGGAGAGCTGTCATAGTTAGTGTCATGGTGAACAATACAGAATGCATATCATACCTTACAGTACGTTCCCTCCCCAGCCAAATCACAGATTAGGACATATATACAGTAGGTGCAGTGTTGAATCCCCTTCACGTACCCCTTAACTCCTATTCTCCTTCTGCAACTCCCTCATCCCACCTTAGCGTACCTTTTTGTAACCATATCTAGGCCTGAGGGGAACGGGTGATATCGCTCACTGTGACCTCCAGTTAGACCCCCTGTATCTATGGCCCATCAGGTATCTATGCAAAGGGGGTCTCTAAATTCCCCCTCCATCACTCCCGTATCCTCCCCCACCCCCCCAATTCGGAGCTGCTGGTCTAAGATCCCAGCAATTTGTGTCCCGCTGGCTCTAAGCTACCCCACATGCAATCAAATACAATCCCATAAGTCTCGCCTTCCCACCCGCTCCCCACATAAGTCTATAATATGTGGTCTGCCTGAACCTGTTGGTACGAGTCCTCCTGAATGATATGTCTCTGCCGATATGGGTGTTCTTCTCCAGATCAGACTCTTGTGCCGGCACCATGGAGGCGTGGTAGTAAGCCGAGCCAGGTGATCCGGCCCGATATTCTTCAGCCTCTCAGGGCTCCCCATGTGGCTATCACAAGCCCTCCCCCCTCCCAAAAGAGTCTTGTGGTGATGCCACCCCCGTGGGCCATAGGCTATGGAAAGGTGGGTATAGGGTGGGGGATAGCTTGGCCAGTTGGGCCTTTCAAAACGGTTACCATCAGTTCCATCTCCTGTGGTCAAGAGCGTGTTACGTCCCTCCCAGTCCCTACCCAAACTGTGTAGGTCGCCAGGCGTGTGCACACCACAAACATCCCGCGGAGTCGTCCCCTTGGATCAGGGGGTTGTGAGCTATGGGTATTGACTGCGGGCCACTGCTTTCGTCGATATCATCTCGTGCAGTCGGTTCTCGGGTGACATAGTAGAGCCGAGCCCGGTGCCACCAGGGCTTGGCTATTCCTCTGGGTTGGACGGGTGTGAAGGCGCTTTGTGTATGCGGTTTTCCCTGGGGCCCCTTCGTGGGGTCCGCGGTTATCTCTGGGTTCTGGGTTCTCGGTCCAGAGGTCCAGGGGTCCATTTGTACGGGATATTGCGTTCCCTCAATGCTGTAGTGATAGGTCTGAGAGCGCGTCTAGCTTCTAACGTGGTAGGAGAAAGGTCGTTGTATAGGGAGACCTCTGCCTCTTGATAGCGCCACGTGGGTCTAGTCCTGGCCCGTTGCATTATGCGGTCTTTAAGGGGGAATGAATGTAAGCAGCATATAATGTCCCTGGGGTCCCCATCTCTAATTCTGGGTCTCAGGGCCCTATGTGCACGCTCGAAGCGTATATTTGGCGGTGCGTCAGTCCCCAGGATTTGGAGGAAGAGCGCGGTGAGCAGCTCCTCTACATTTTCCGGCCCCTCACCCTCTGGTACCCCTCTTACCCGGATGTTTGAGCGGCGGCTCCGGTTATCCAGGTCCTCTATTTGTCTGCGCAGGGCCAGCAGCATGTTGCCCTGCCTTGTTAAGGCTGTGTCTGCAGCAGTTGCTTGGTGCTGTGATTCTAGGGCCTGGGTTTCCAATGCCTGGATGCGTCCGCCCTGTGCCTCCATATCTGTGCGCAGTGCCGTGACCGCTGACGTGAGGGAGGTCGTGAGGGTGGCTGTCAGGGACTGTAGGTCGCATTTGGTGACCATATTGGCTCCTGATTTCAGTCTCCTGATTTCTGCCCCTATATCAGCCAGAGTAGGCTGGTCGGGCTCCGAGCAGGAGGAAGCTGGAGAGACAGGCGCCATCTTGGAGCCGTGCGCCTCGCGGCCCTATCCCAGCGGGGTTTGCAGGAACCTGTCCATCGGTCCTGATGGCGGTGCCGGCGGTGCTGCCCTGGGGGTATGCTGGGTCTGCTGTCTCTTTGTGCGTCCCATTTAAGCAGGCTAGCGGGTGTCAGACGGCTAATGATAGCTCGGTGGCGAGGAGCTCGGGACTTACACGTCCATGCCTGTCGGACTTCAGGCCACGCCCCCCTATATAGGGATTATATAACTTTCAGTCTCTATACAGTGATTATATGACGGCAGGGTCCCCTCAGTCTCTATACAGTGATTAAATGACTGACAGGGTACCTCAGTCTCTTTACAGTGATTAAATGACTGGCAGGGTCCCTCAGTCCCTATATAGTGATTATATGACCGGCAGGGTCCCCTCAGTCTCCGTATAGTGATTACATGAAGGCAGGGTCCCCTCAGTCTCTATACAGTGATTATATAACTGGTAGGGTCCCCTCAGTCTCTATACAGTGATTATCTGACCGGCAGGGTCCCCTCAGTCTCTATACAGTGATTATATGACCGGCAGGGTCCCCTCAGTCTCTATACAGTGATTATATGACGGCAGGGTCCCCTCAGTCTCTATACAGAGATTATATGACGGCAGGGTCCCCTCAGTCTCTATACAGTGATTATATAAGTGGCAGGGTCCCCTCAGTCTCTATATAGTGATTATATGACGGCAGGGTCCCCTCAGTCTCTATACAGTGATTATATGACGGCAGGGTCCCCTCAGTCTCTATACAGAGATTATATGACGGCAGGGTCCCCTCAGTCTCTATACAGTGATTATATAAGTGGCAGGGTCCCCTCAGTCTCTATACGGCAGGGTCCCCTCAGTCTCTATACAGTAATTATATATATATGGCAAGATCCCCTCAGTCTCTATATAGTGATTATATAACTGGCAGGGTCCCCTCAGTCTCTATACAGTGATTATATGACGGCAGGGTCCCTTCAGTCTCTATATAGTGATTAAATGACCAGCAGGGTCCCCTCAGTCTCTATATAGTGATTATATAACTGGCAGGGTCCCCTCAGTCTCTATATAGTGATTATATAACTGGCAGGGTCCACTCAGTCTCTATACAGTGATTATATAACTGGCAGGGTCCCCTCAGTCTCTATACAGTGATTATATAACTGGCAGGGTCCCCTCAGTCTCTATATAGTTATTATATGACAGCAGGGTCCCCTCAGTCTCTATACAGTGATTATATTTTACAAGAAAGGTAATAGGGAGGAGTCGGGCAACTATAGGCCAGTAAGCCTTACTTCAGTAGTGGGGAAAGTGATGGAAACCATGTTAAAGGATAGGATTGATGAACATCTAAAAACACATGGATTTCAAGATCAGAGACAACATGGGTTTACTTCAGGGAGATCATGCCAAACTAATCTTATTGATTTTTTGATTGGGTAACTAAAATTATAGATCAGGGTGGTGCAGTAGACATTGCTTACCTAGATTTCAGTAAGGCTTTTGACACTGTTGCACATAGAAGGCTTATCAATAAACTGCAATCTTTAAGTTTGGATTCAAATATTGTTGAATGGGTAAGGCGGTGGCTGAGTAACAGGCAACAGAGGGTTGTAGTTAATGGAATATATTCGAAGCTTGGACTTGTCACCAGTGGGGTACCTCAGGGATCTGTACTTGGACCCATTCTCTTTAATATTTTTATTAGTATTATTGCAGAAGGTCTTGATGGTAAGGTATGTCTTTTTGCTGATGATACTAAGATATGTAACAGGGTTGATGTTCCAGGAGGGATAAGCCAAATGACAAATGATTTGGGTAAACTAGAAAAATGGTCAGAATTGTGGCAACTGACATTTAATGTGGATAAGTGCAAGATAATGCATCTTGGGCGTAAAAACCCAAGGGCAGAGTACAGAATATTTGATAGAGTCCTAACCTCAACATATGAGGAAAGGGATTTAGGGGTGATTATTTCTGATGACTTAAGGTAGGCAGACAATGTAATAGAGCAGCAGGAAATGCTAGCAGAATGCTTGGTTGTATAGGGAGAGGTATTAGCAGTAGAAAGAGGGAAGTGCTCATGCCATTGTACAGAACACTGGTGAGACCTCACTTGGAGTATTGTACACAGTGCTGGAGACCGTATCTTCAGAAGGATATTGATACCTTAGAGAGAGTTCAGAGAAGGGCTACTAAACTGGTTCATGGATTGCGGGATAAAACTTACCAGGAAAGGTTAAGGATCTTAACATGTATAGCTTGGAGGAAAGACGAGACAGGGGGGATATGATAGAAACATTTAAATATATAAAGGGAATCAACACAGTAAAGGAGGAGACTATATTTAAAGAAGAAAAACTACCACAACAAGAGGACATAGTCTTAAATTAGAGGGACAAAGGTTTAAAAATAATATCAGGAAGTATTACTTTACTGAGAGGGTAGTGGATGCATGGAATGGCCTTCCAGCTGAAGTGGTAGAGGTTAACACAGTAAAGGAGTTTAAGCATGCATGGGATAGGCATAAGGCTATCCTAACTATAAGATAAGGCTAGGGACTAATGAAAGTTTTTAGAAAATTGGGCAGACTAGATGGGCCGAATGGTTCTTATCTGCCGTCACATTCTATGTTTCTATGTTTCTATATGACGGCAGGGTCCCCTCAGTCTCTATACAGTGATTATATAACTGGCAAGATCCCCTCAGTCTCTATACAGTGATTATATGACGGCAGGGTCCCCTCAGTCTCTATATAGTTATTATATGACAGCAGGGTCCCCTCAGTCTCTATACAGTGATTATATGACGGCAGGATCCCCTCAGTCTCTATATAGTGATTATATAACTGGCAGGGTCCCCTCAGTCTCTATATAGTGATTACATGACCGGCAGGGTCCCCTCAGTCTCTATACAGTGATTACATGACCGGCAGGGTCCCCTCAGTCTCTATATAGTGATTATATAACTGGCAGGATCCCCTCAGTCTCTATACAGTGATTATATAACTGGCAAGATACCCTCAGTCTCTATATAGTGATTATATAACTGGCAGGATCCCCTCAGTCTCTATACAGTGATTATATGACGGCAGGGTCCCCTCAGTCTCTATATAGTTATTATATGACAGCAGGGTCTCCTCAGTCTCTATACAGTGATTATATGACGGCAGGGTCCCCTCAGTCTCTATACAGTGATTATATGACGGCAGGGTCCCCTCAGTCTCTATACAGTAATTATATATATATGGCAAGATCCCCTCAGTCTCTATATAGTGATTATATAACTGGCAGGGTCCCCTCAGTCTCTATACAGTGATTATATGACGGCAGGGTCCCTTCAGTCTCTATATAGTGATTAAATGACCAGCAGGGTCCCCTCAGTCTCTATATAGTGATTATATAACTGGCAGGGTCCCCTCAGTCTCTATATAGTGATTATATAACTGGCAGGGTCCCCTCAGTCTCTATACAGTGATTATATAACTGGCAGGGTCCCCTCAGTCTCTATACAGTGATTATATAACTGGCAGGGTCCCCTCAGTCTCTATATAGTTATTATATGACAGCAGGGTCCCCTCAGTCTCTATACAGTGATTATATGACGGCAGGGTCCCCTCAGTCTCTATACAGTGATTATATAACTGGCAAGATCCCCTCAGTCTCTATATAGTGATTATATAACTGGCAGGATCCCCTCAGTCTCTATACAGTGATTATATGACGGCAGGGTCCCCTCAGTCTCTATATAGTGATTATATAACTGGCAGGATCCCCTCAGTCTCTATACAGTGATTATATGACGGCAGGGTCCCCTCAGTCTCTATACAGTGATTATATGACGGCAGGATCCCCTCAGTCTCTATATAGTGATTATATAACTGGCAGGGTCCCCTCAGTCTCTATATAGTGATTACATGACCGGCAGGATCCCCTCAGTCTCTATACAGTGATTACATGACCGGCAGGGTCCCCTCAGTCTCTATACAGTGATTATATGACGGCAGGGTCCCCTCAGTCTCTATACAGTGAATATATAACTGGCAAGATCCCCTCAGTCTCTATATAGTGATTATATAACTGGCAGGATCCCCTCAGTCTCTATACAGTGATTATATGACGGCAGGGTCCCCTCAGTCTCTATACAGTGATTATATGACGGCAGGGTCCCCTCAGTCTCTATACAGTGATTATATGACGGCAGGATCCCCTCAGTCTCTATATAGTGATTATATAACTGGCAGGGTCCCCTCAGTCTCTATATAGTGATTACATGACCGGCAGGGTCCCCTCAGTCTCTATACAGTGATTACATGACCGGCAGGGTCCCCTCAGTCTCTATACAGTGATTATATGACGGCAGGATCCCCTCAGTCTCTATACAGTGATTACATGACCGGCAAGGTCCCCTCAGTCTCTATAGAGTGAGTATTGCTTTCTATATGGCAGTTCATAAAGTGCATTTTGTCTAATAAAGTTTTTTTTGGTTACTAGTATGTTGCAGGAACAGTGAGGACATCCTGAAATATCCAGCACCCAGTGATACTGAGAGCAATTTAACACCGAGAAACCTGACATCCATGGAAACCAATGCATGTAAGTGTAAATCACCCGGTGATAACTGTCGGTAACTGTAAATCACTCGGTGATAATTGTCCGTAACTGTAAATCACCCGGTGATAACTGCCGGTAATTGTTAAACTTTTAAAGTTATAAGAATTGTGTAAAAACTGTATATTTTCCTGTCTTTGATAGTTACGCTAGCCCATTGTGTTCAGTAATTATATCACAGGCAAAGGGGAGGATTTTGCTGTAATGAATGGGAGTGTTTAACTGTGTGTCTGTTTATGATTGCTTGTTACGTTTATGTTTCCAGTATCCAACAAGGTCCACGTGGGTGGTAACCTTGTTGGAAAATGTATATAAAAGAAGCAACAAAGCCTCAGTGCACTCTGTTTTTGTTTGACCCTCAACACGTAATCTTGTCTCGTGAATCGAGGGGAACTGCTATAATCACACTGGGGAATGCAACACTTTGTATAGTCCCTTGAACTCTACAAGTCACTTAGCTCTTTTAAGAGCTGTTCCCGGTACACTCTCCTGGAGGTGAGGTTTTTTTCCACACGGTCCTGGAGGACAGAAGCTGATCCAGGGTGGAAGGAAGACGGCGAGACTTCAGTTACGCTACGGCGGTTGTGGAGTCTGCGGTGGTTGTGGTGTCCGGTGCGGTGCTTGTGGTCCTTGGCGCAAGATAGGAAGCATCCATCAACGGAAGGTACTTGTTTGGAGTACAGGTGATCCGTTACAGCCGGTAATTGTAAAACATCCGGTGATAACTGACGGTAACTGTAAAACATCCAGTGATAACTGTCGGTAATTGTAAAACATCCAGTGATAACTGTTGGTAACTGTAAAACATCTCGTGTTAACTGCCAATATTTGTAAAATACCCGGTGATAACTGTTGGTAACTGTAAAGCATCCAGTGATAACTGACGGTAATTGTAAAACACCCGGTGATAACTGTAAAATATCCAGTGATAACTGTCGGTAACTGTAATACATCCAGTGATAACTGCCGGTAACTTTAAAACATCTGGTGATAACTGCCGGTAACTGTAAAACATCCGGTGATAACTGCCGGTAACTGTAAAACATCCGGTGATAACTGACGGTAACTGTAAAACATCCGGTGATAACTGTCGGTAATTGTAAAACATCCGGCGATAACGGTCGGTGGTTGTAAAAGAGCCGGTGATTACTCCAGGATTATCTGATTCTGTCACTAATATAATGACAATGTACATTGCTGCTACCACAACTAAAAGAGAAGATTTGTTAATAAGAACGATTGAAAATACATAAACAGCCAGAAACTAATGACCGTCACCACCAGAGCGTGAACATGCTCCAAGTTCTGGGTGCTGGCAGCAATGTTCTTTCAATTCAGGAAATTCTCACCAAAGAGCAATTACAGCAATCAGAAAAACTTAATGGAATGAAAATAGAAGATATCTCTGGAGAACAAGTATCTTTGTTGTGCAGATTTATATAATATTGGGAGCAAGGCATGCCCACCATAACAAACAGCAGTGATAAGAATTGTAGCACTGGGCATCACAATAGAGAGGAGGGAGAGACCCAAATAACCCCAAAAACTAAATAAATCTGGGAAATGAACGTCACTAATGGACAATTTGTCTACTATTTAGCATTACAAAATAGTTCTTCATTGTTGGATTAAAAGTAGTTTATGTGTAATTTTAATTACTGAAATACATCTTCCACCCATATTTTTGAGAATTTTGTTAGTGTTTAGATTGATGATGTAGTAGCATGAAATGTACAGATAAGTAGAGGTATCCATCTTTAGTTTTAATCAGTCATCTTGTGCATTGTGGGTGTGTTAGCAATATCAGTGCGCATTGTTTACAACACTTAATGTCTCTTGGTGCCGTTTCTGTTTTCTGCTCTTTTCAGCAGCTGACAAATTTCCGATTTATGGAGATGTATGCGAGACTCCAATAAATCCTTCAGAGAGACATCACGGAGCGGACAGCGACATGTTCAGATATTCTGGAAAAGGTGAGAAGATGGTGCCCTGAGATGGATTTTTAATGGAGGTATCTAGAAATGATGAGTTAACATGTGGCCAAACATTGTAAGTGGAAAAATCTGTGTGAGCTGTGAGACAGAGAGAGATGGGAGACTGAGCTGTGAGAGAGAGCTGGGAGACTGAGCTTCGAGACAGAGGCTAGGAAGAGAGAGCTGGGAGATTGAACTCTAAGACACAGAGAGGTGGGAGGGAGCTGGGAGACTGAGCTACAAGACAGAGCCTATAAATAAAGTGGGGAGAAAGAGCCCAGAGAGAGAGCTGAGAGACAGAACTACGAGAGAGAGCTGGGAGAGTACCGCATCTGTACAGAGCGAATCCCTCTTCCCCATCAGTACAGAGCGAATCCCTCTTCCCCATCAGTACAGAGCGAGTCCCTCTTCCCCATCAGTACAGAGCGAGTCCCTCTTCCCCATCAGTACAGAGCGAGTCCCTCTTCCCCATCAGTACAGAGCGAATCCCTCTTCCCCCTGAGTACAGAGTAAGTCCCTCTTCCCTGTCAGGAAAACAGAGATATAAATAATACGACAAGTAATCATCAGGAAGACAGAGATATAAATAAACGATACAAGTTATATTCAGGAAGACAGAAATATAAATAAACAATACGATAAGTCATATTCAGGAAGACAGAGATATAAAAAATACGACAAGTAATCGTCAGGAAGACAGAGATATAAATAAACGATACGACAAGTCATATTCAGGAAGACATAGATATAAATTTAAAAAATACGATAAGTCATATTCAGGAAGACATAGATATAAATTTTAAAAATACGACAAGTAATCGTCAGGAAGACAGAGATATAAATAAACGATACGACAAGTCATATTCAGGAAGACAGATATAAATATGACAAGCTGTGTAAGGAAGACACACTAGTCAGCTGGATTGAAATATAAATGATAAGACAAGCTGTAGTCAGGATTCATATAAATGATAAGAGAAACTGGATCCCGGATACAGGCGCAAGCTATAAAACAAGCTTCAGGCAGCTGTTATTCATTTCTGAAACCTAATGATCTTTAGTTCAGTCTAGTGGTTTTTTGATTGGGCAACTAAAATTATAGATCAGGGTGGTGCCGTAGACATTGCTTACCTAGATTTCAGTAAGGCTTTTGACACTGTTGCACATAGAAGGCTTATCAATAAACTGCAATCTTTAAGTTTGGATTCCAATATTGTTGAATGGGTAAGGCAGTGGCTGAGTGACAGACAACAGAGGGTTGTAGTTAATGGAATATATTCAAAGCTTGGACTTGTCACCAGTGGGGTACCTCAGGGATTTGTACTTGGCCCCATTCTCTTTAATATTTTTATTAGTGATATTGCAGAAGGTCTTGATGGTAAGGTATGTCTTTTTGCTGATGATGCTAAGATATGTAACAGGGTTGATGTTCCAGGAGGGATAAGCCAAATGGCAAATGATTTAGGTAAACAAGAAAAATGGTCAGAATTGTGGCAACTGACATTTAATGTGGATAAGTGCAAGATAATGCATCTTGGACTTAAAAACCCAAGGACAGAGTACAGAATATTTGATAGAGTCCTAACCTCAACATCTGAGGAAAGGGATTTAGGGGTGATTATTTCTGATGACTTAAAGGTAGGCAGACAATGTAATTGAGCAGCAGTAAATGCCAGCAGAATGCTTGGTTGTATAGGGAGAGGTATTAGCAGTAGAAAGAGGGAAGTGCTCATGCCATTGTACAGAACACTGGTGAGACCTCACTTGGAGTATTGTACACAGTACTGGAGACCGTATCTTCAGAAGGATATTGATACCTTAGAGAGGTTCAGAGAAGGGCTACTAAACTGGTTCATGGATGGCAGGATAAAACTTACCAGGAAAGGTTAAAGGATCTTAACATGTATAGCTTGGAGGAAAGACGAGACAGGGGGGATATGATAGAAAAATTTAAATATATAAAGGGAATCAACACAGTAAAGGAGGAGACTATATTTAAAAGAAGAAAACTACCACAACAAGAGGACATAGTCTTAAATTAGAGGGACAAAGGTTTAAAAATAATATCAGGAAGTATTACTTTACTGAGAGGGTAGTGGATGCATGGAATTGGCTTCCAGCTGAAGTGGTAGAGGTTAACACAGTAAAGGAGTTTAAGCATGCGTGCGATAGGCATAAGGCTATCCTAACTATAAGATAAGGCCAAGGACTAATGAAAGTATTTAGAAAATTGGGCAGACTAGATGGGCCGAATGGTTCTTATCTGCCGTCACATTCTATGTTTCTACCCTCTGAGCTGTCCGAAAGAGTGTAAAGAACTTTATAACAGTTCTTGCTTTCTCTTGAAATTGTCTCTTTTATCATATAAGTCAAAGGGAACACACTGGAGGGGCAGCAACAGCGTATAGGAGGGGCAGTTTGGGTCAGGATCAGTAAGAAGGAAGCAGATCTTGTGTCTGGGGTAGTAAGATGGAAAGAGTGCTTTGTTTGCAGCAGTAAGAAGGAACAGAGCTTGGTTCAGGGACAGAAATATGGAGGCAGGGCTTGGTTTTGGAGCAGTAAGAAGGAAGCAGGGCTTGGGTTTTGGAGCAGTAAGAAGGAATCAGGGCTTGGTTTTGGAGCAGTAAGAAGGAAGCAGGGCTTGGGTTTTGGAGCAGTAAGAAGGAAGCAAGGCTTGGGTTTTGGAGCAGTAAGAAGGAAGCAGGGCTTGGTTTTGGAGCAGTAAGAAGGAAGCAGGGCTTGGGTTTTGGAGCAGTAAGAAGGAATCCGGGCTTGGTTTTGGAGCAGTAAGAAGGAAGCAGGGCTTGGGTTTTGGAGCAGTAAGAAGGAAGCAGGGCTTGGGTTTTGGAGCAGTAAGAAGGAAGCAGGGCTTGGGTTTTGGAGCAGTAAGAAGGAAGCAGGGCTTGGTTTTGGAGCAGTAAGAAGGAAGCAGGGCTTGGTTTTGGAGCAGCAGAAAGAAGGAAGCAGAGATTAGTTCTGGAGCAGTGCAAGCTGTAAGGTTTGATTCTTGTGCAGTAAGAAGAAAGTAGGCCTTGGTTCTAGAGCAGCAAGAAGAAAGCAGGGAACAGTTCTGAAAGCAGAACTTTGTTCTGGAACAATAAGATGGCTAAATTCTGGAGCTGTAAGAAGAAAAGAAGGCTTGGTTCTGGAGCAGCTAGAAGAAAGCAAGGCATTTTTCTGGAGCAGTAAGGAAGCCAGGCTTGGTTCTGGAGCAGTAAGGAGGAAGCAGGGCTTGGTTCTGGAGCAGTAAGGAGGAAGCAGGGCTTGGGTTTTGGAGCAGTAAGAAGGAAGCAGGGCTTGGGTTTTGGAGCAGTAAGAAGGAAGCAGGGCTTGGGTTTTGGAGCAGTAAGAAGGAAGCAGGGCTTGGTTTTGGAGCAGTAAGAAGGAAGCAGGGCTTGGTTTTGGAGCAGCAGAAAGAAGGAAGCAGAGATTAGTTCTGGAGCAGTGCAAGCTGTAAGGTTTGATTCTTGTGCAGTAAGTTTCTACCCTCTGAGCTGTCCGAAAGAGTGTAAAGAACTTTATAACAGTTCTTGCTTTCTCTTGAAATTGTCTCTTTTATCATATAAGACAAAGGGAACACACTGGAGGGGCAGCAACAGCGTATAGGAGGGGCAGTTTGGGTCAGGATCAGTAAGAAGGAAGCAGATCTTGTGTCTGGGGTAGTAAGATGGAAAGAGTGCTTTGTTTGCAGCAGTAAGAAGGAACAGAGCTTGGTTCAGGGACAGAAATATGGAGGCAGGGCTTGGTTTTGGAGCAGTAAGAAGGAAGCAGGGCTTGGGTTTTGGAGCAGTAAGAAGGAATCAGGGCTTGGTTTTGGAGCAGTAAGAAGGAAGCAGGGCTTGGGTTTTGGAGCAGTAAGAAGGAAGCAAGGCTTGGGTTTTGGAGCAGTAAGAAGGAAGCAGGGCTTGGTTTTGGAGCAGTAAGAAGGAAGCAGGGCTTGGGTTTTGGAGCAGTAAGAAGGAATCCGGGCTTGGTTTTGGAGCAGTAAGAAGGAAGCAGGGCTTGGGTTTTGGAGCAGTAAGAAGGAAGCAGGGCTTGGGTTTTGGAGCAGTAAGAAGGAAGCAGGGCTTGGGTTTTGGGAGCAGTAAGAAGGAAGCAGGGCTTGGTTCTGGAGCAGTAAGGAGGAAGCAGGGCTTGGGTTTTGGAGCAGTAAGAAGGAAGCAGGGCTTGGGTTTTGGAGCAGTAAGAAGGAAGCAGGGCTTGGGTTTTGGAGCAGTAAGAAGGAAGCAGGGCTTGGTTTTGGAGCAGTAAGAAGGAAGCAGGGCTTGGTTTTGGAGCAGCAGAAAGAAGGAAGCAGAGATTAGTTCTGGAGCAGTGCAAGCTGTAAGGTTTGATTCTTGTGCAGTAAGAAGAAAGTAGGCCTTGGTTCTAGAGCAGCAAGAAGAAAGCAGGGAACAGTTCTGAAAGCAGAACTTTGTTCTGGAACAATAAGATGGCTAAATTCTGGAGCTGTAAGAAGAAAAGAAGGCTTGGTTCTGGAGCAGCTAGAAGAAAGCAAGGCATTTTTCTGGAGCAGTAAGAAGGAATCAGGGCTTGGTTTTGGAGCAGTAAGGAGGAAGCAGGGCTTGGTTCTGGAGCAGTAAGGAGGAAGCAGGGCTTGGGTTTTGGAGCAGTAAGAAGGAAGCAGGGCTTGGGTTTTGGAGCAGTAAGAAGGAAGCAGGGCTTGGGTTTTGGAGCAGTAAGAAGGAAGCAGGGCTTGGTTTTGGAGCAGCAGAAAGAAGGAAGCAGAGATTAGTTCTGGAGCAGTGCAAGCTGTAAGGTTTGATTCTTGTGCAGTAAGAAGAAAGTAGGCCTTGGTTCTAGAGCAGCAAGAAGAAAGCAGGGAACAGTTCTGAAAGCAGAACTTTGTTCTGGAACAATAAGAAGGCTAAATTCTGGAGCTGTAAGAAGAAAAGAAGGCTTGGTTCTGGGGCAGCTAGAAGAAAGCAAGGCATTTTTCTGGAGCAGTAAGGAAGCCAGGCTTGGTTCTGGAGCAGTAAGGAGGAAGCAGGGCTTGGTTCTGGAGCAGTAAGGAGGAAGCAGGGCTTGGTTCTGGAGCAGTAAGGAGGAAGCCAGGCTTGGTTCTGGAGCAGTAAGGAGGAAGCAGGGCTTGGTTCTGGAGCAGTAAGGAGGAAGCAGGGCTTGGTTATGGAGCAGTGAGCAAGCTGTAAGTTTTAACTCTGGTGCAGTAAAACAAGAGCAATAGTTAGTTCAGGAGCAGTCAGAAGGAAGCAGGGCTTTGTTCTAGAGCAGACACCAAGCTGTTAGGCTTGACTCTGGAGTGGTAAGAAGAAAGTAGAGGTTAGTTCTTGAGAAGTAAAAGAAAGCAGGGCTTTGTTCTGGAGAAATAAGAAGGAAGCAGAGCTTGGCTCTGGAGCAGTGAGAAAAACAGCTTGATTCTGGAGCAGTAAAAAGGAAGCAGAGCTTTGTTCTAGGACAGAAGTAGGACTTTGTTCTGGTGCAGTAAAAAGAAAGCAGGGCTTAGGTCTGGAGCAAGGTTTGACTCTGGTGGAGTAAGAATAATGCAGGACTAGATTCTGGAGCAGTAAGAAGGAAGCAGGGCTAAATTCTGGAGTAAACATAAATAAAAAAGATAAGATTTACCCACAATAAATGTATGATGAGCTAGAAAAATTACAGGAAGGAGCATGTAAATAGGGAGCTGTGTCAGGCTCTGTAGTAGTAGCTGTATGGGTACCTCTACAGGCTAACGACCCAATGTCCAAGCAGGAATACCGGAGAGGAGGTATAGAAAAAATATCCTTTATTAATCTTACACAAATTATAGGATAAAAAGGCAGATACACACTGACGCAACACCGCTCAAAATGGAATAGGGTACACAGCTTGAGCGAATCATCCGATTGTGAGGATACATAAACCCATCTGCGAGGAGAATTATTCAGCACTGAAGAAGGCTACGTGAGAGCCAAAACGTGTTTGTTTTATTACTTGGGACGTGCTTATTAGGCATCGACCGATTTTCGGTATTTTCGGCAATATCGGTATTGGGCAATATAGATACCGATATTACCGATAATACCTCCCAGGACCGCTGGGCCCATTACAAGCCCAGTGGTCCTGGGGGGGTGGGGGGCAGCACCAAGCGCTTACATACCACCCAGCAGCTCCTCCAGCTCCCATGTCATATCTCGCGAGTCACGCGGCCGCAGAACGTTGCCACGGGTTACCATGGCAACGCTCCGCACGGCACTAAGGGCCGCGAGATTTACACAGGGAGATGAAGGACCTGCTGGGAGGTATGTAACAGCTTGTTGCCGGCCCCCCCACTGCTCAGCCACTGGACCACCAGGGACTGCTATATCCCCCCCTCCCTGGTAAGAAGGAGGGAGGGGGGACTAAAAAAAATGAAGCATATAAATATTACAAATAAAATTGGTAACAAGTGTGGAGATTTTCTGAAAAAATATAAGAGCAGCAAAGTTTCAATCAGATTCCAGGCAGGGTATACATTTTCTAGCATTCTCAGCAAATCTTGCTTTGTGCTTTGTTCTGCCTTTTGCCAAATGAGTACTACATTTAAATGGACACAAATTACATCCCTTCAGAAACACACACACACACACTCTGCATTATATACACACACTACACAAACACATACTGTATTCATTATATACACAACTATACAAACACACACATACTCTGAATTATACACACACTGCATTTATTATATACATACACTACACAAATGCAAACACACACTGCATTCATTATATACACACACTACACAAATACAAACACACTGCATTCATTATATACACACACACTACACAAATACAAACACACACTGCATTCATTATATACACAACTATAAAAACACACATACTCTGCATTATAAACACACTGCATTAATTATATACACACACACACACACACACTGCATTCATTATATACACACACTACACAAACACACACTACACACTGCATTAATTATATACACACTACACACACTGCATTAATTATATATACACACTACACAAACACACACACTCTGCATTCATTATATACACAACTATACAAGCACACATTATGCATTATATACACACAGTACACAAACACACACTGCATTCACTATACACACATTACACACACACTGCATTCACTATACACACATTACACACACACTACACACACACAGTGCATTCACTTTACACACACTACACACACACACTGCATTCACTTTACGCACACTACACAAACACACTTTGTGTAGTGTGTATATATAGTGAATGCAGAGTGTGTTTGTGTAGTGTGCGTAAAGTGAATGCAGTGTGTGTGTGTAGTGTGTGTAAAGTGAATGCACTGTGTGTGTGTAGTGTGTGTGTAATGTGTGTATAGTGAATGCAGAGTGTGTGTGTTTGTGTAGTGTGTATATATAGTGAATGCAAACACACACACTCTGCATTCACTATACACACATTACACACACACTACACACACACAGTGCATTCACTTTACACACACTACACACACACACTGCATTCACTTTACGCACACTACACAAACACACACACTCTGCATTCACTATACACACTACACAAATACACACTGGATCCATAAAATATCCTATTTTCGTGTAATTTTCAATTAAAATAACATTTGAACCAGCTCATTAATCATTTCCTGGAACCATCCAATAAGAATAATCTATCAGATTTTAATTTGCCTAAAAAGATATCTTATCTTATATTAGAGCAAATCAATACACCTGGATAAAAACAGCGGTATGCTAACACGTGATAATATCACATTAATATATAATTATTCTTAATTCCACCTGCAGAATGGAATGTTTATAACTATATATTCTTTAGTTAACTAAGATTTCTAAATATTGAAATCTGACCGTGATTTATCCAGTCATATATCATGCTATTAGTAAATTTTAATTAATTTAGATTTTTACCAGTTATATAGATATTCTCATCAGATGAGTAGGAAGTCCCAGAAACTTGAATGCGAGTATGATTGGTTGTATGGAGGTGTGTAAGTAATAGAGAAAAGTGATGTTGGTTAGAAAGTATCAGTAAAATTCTAAGTGTCAAGGAGTGTTTCTTGAGTTGTGTCCAAGAGAGTTTGAGAGTTGAATGTTAGTCCCAGAGAGTGTCCTGGATCTCTCTGCATGTCCGAATCTGAATGCCCAAAAACTAACCTCTCTCTTCCCTTTGTCCTAACTTTTAAAGGGCCAGACTCTCTGTACGTCATTAGTTGATAAGGCCAATAGGAAACTGAAGGTGTGGTCAACCTGCAGATCGCAATTTAGGTATTTGATCCATAGAGGGCAGTCTCGCCTCACTAAACCTTCCTATCCAGGAAAGAGTTAACTTTTCCTGATGACGATTTTGACGTCATTTGGCTTATCTAAAATGACTACCATAACTTAAATTTGCTGTCAGTTCAAAGCGTTTGCCTCAGTCTTTGTGGCAACTACTTTGATTGTAATTTCTAAAATCGACAGTTCTAAACTCAATTTCACCCCTTATTTACAATGGGACCTTGTAAAATTTAGAAAGTAAAATTAATTACTTAGTCTTCTCTGTCACTAGTGTCTGTGTTTAAAATTATTTCTATTCTATTAACATCTAAACAGAGCATTCCATCCCCTTGCTTCATTGCTTATCACTTGGCTTGTTTACATAATGCATTCCTTCGCTCAGGCTAGTGGCTAGTTACAGAAAGGAAAGAAATTTTGTGTCTGATTTGCCTGAAATCCAAAATGGAGTCCGCTCTGTTATGAGTGACTCTGGCAATATACACTTTTAATTTTTATCTTAGCACAAAATGTCCGCCGATATAAATATCCTGACATTATGGGACACACTATGTGGCAATTTTTTGTTTGTATTGGCTATGTTATATTGCCTTTGGGCAGTGTGTTTACCTCTATAGCCTCTTTTTTATTTCTGTTTACCGTTATAGCCCGGCAGTTCCATCTTATCCTATAATTTGTGTAAGATTAATAAAGGATATTACAAAAAGATAAGTCCTGCGCTCACTCCCATCACTCCTGGGCGTCAGCAATGACCACAGTACACATCAGCCCCAATACATACAGTAAAAACCAAAGAAAAAGTTACCTGCGCTCTCTCCTAAATCCCTATGTATATATAAACAAATGGAGGTCATTTAGTTACCGCCCATCCCATGTGTTTCCTATTAAGGGTTAATAAGTATATAGGGGTGTGTGATGGACCCGCCGTCAATCAATGCTCCTAGTGCTTACCAAGGACCATCAGCACCGCCCCAGACACCATAAGCACTGCAGACCCCACAAACCGCCACAGCTTGGTTGGGGTCTCGGGAGAATTGCATAAAAGCAGAGTGTGTGTCATTAAACCAGAGTTCTTCACCCTCAATCTAGAGTCCTGTCTCTTATTGGGGGAATTACTATATCACTACAAGGGATTGCTATGCTCTGCATGCTCTCTTGGATAATCACTTCTAAGCTCTTTTAAGAGCTTCTTCCTGCTTCACTCTCTTGGAGGAGAGGTTCACCCACTGGAACCTGAAGCCTTGACATAGGTCCAGGGTGGGTAGGAGACGGCGAGACCCCAACCAAGCTGCGGCGGTTAGTGGGGTCTGCGGTGGTTGTGGTGTCTGCGGAGCGCTTGGAGCCCTTTGGAAGCGCTAGGAGCATCCTTCAACAGAGGTACCCAGTCGGGGTGCCAGGTGATCCGTTACAGAGGGTAAAACAGGAACTTAGCAGATCTTAGGGTTTATTTAACAGCTTGGTTATTTATACAGTGGATACAGGAACAACAAGCCAATTGATAGCCCCGATCTGGGTGAACAACATATCCAAAAATCACCCAGATTGGTTCAGGGGTTCAGGAATTTCCTGGAAGTCTTTTTTTTTTGGACGCACCGTGCACATGGTCCCATGCCTAAAATAGTTCCATACACACAACGAAAAAACACTGCTGGACAATTTAAGATGGCCGCCGCCACCACATGTTTGAATCTGTTCCAGTTAAAAGTCCAAGGGGCAGAAACAGTACTTTTGAACATGTGTTATCACAGTGCCCATAGTCCCAGGGTAGGAGGCTGGCAAACAGGCCCCTCCAAATACCAGTGGCGAGGTTACTTTCACCACATATCTTCCCCCCCACGGGAAGACTAACCAGGTACCTGACTTCCTGCCAGTCGGTACCTGTGTTAGTCTGGCAGCCCACCCACAACCAACAATAGCTGGACCTGGTGAATTTGGTAGCCTGTCTCTGTCCAGTGAGCTGACAAACAGGCCCCTCCAAAAACCAGTGGCGACGTTACTTTTGTCGCAGGGTCTATATAAAAAAATACCCCTCTCTATCTCATTAGAGATATCTTTGCCAGAAGATCGAGGAAGCAAGGTGAAGGGTCAGTGTAGGACCCGCCTAGGGGGGGTCTGCCTTGACGTTGGCAGGCGGACATTCACTCCATTGGCTAGTGGAGAATCTAAATGACCTCCATTTGTTTAAATATACATAGGGATTTAGGAGAAAGTGCAAGTAACTTTTTCTTTGGTCTTTACTGGATATTTTTTCTATACCTCCTCTCCGGTATTCCTGCTTGGACATTGGGTCGTTAGCCTGTAGAGGTACCCATACAGCTACTACTACAGAGCCTGACACAGCTCCCTATTTACATGCTCCTTCCTGTAATCTTTCTAGCTCATCATACATTTATTGTGAGTATATCTTATCTTTTTAAATATGTTTACTATTCTAAGGTGAAAGGGGAGTACACCTTGTTATACCTATCTACTACTTATCACCCTTTTTGAAGTGCCTACACCAAGCATGTCAAACTCAAAGTCTAGCAAGGGCCAAATAAACAAGGTTTAAGTTTATGTGGGCCGCAAAAAAAACCAAAAACTTAACTTTTAATGGATACGTAGGTTTATTTTGAAAAGTACTGTATTAAAAAAAACCCTCTACTAAACCCCAGCCCCCCTCGTCTACTAAATCCCAGCCCCCCCTCGTCTACTAAATCCCAGCCCCCCCTCGTCTACTAAATCCCAGCCCCCCCTCGTCTACTAAATCCCAGCCACCACCCCGTCTACTTAATCCCTAAATCCCAGTCCCCCTTGTCTACTAAATCCCAGCTCCCACCCCGTCTACTAAATCCCAGCTCCCACCCCGTCTATTAAATCCCAGTCCCCCCCTCGTCTACTAAATCCCAGCTCCCACCCCGTCTATTAAATCCCAGTCCCCCCTAGTCTACTGCTATCCCACAAAAACCAAAAACCCTTGTCTACTAATACCATTTCCCCCCTAGTCTACTAAATCCCATTCCCCCCCTCGTCTGCAAATCCCAGCTCCCACCCGTCTACTAAATCCCAGTCCCCTCGTCTACCGTCCCATTTCCCTCGTCTACTAACCCCATTCCCTCTCTCATCTACCAAATCCAGCCCCCCTTGTCTACTACACCCCCAGCCCCCCCCCCTCATCTACACTAAATCCCATTTCCCCCTTGTCTACTAAATCCCAGCTCCCACCCGTCTACTATATCCCAGTCCCCCCTGTCTACTAAATCCCATTTCCCCCTCGTCTACTAAATCCCAGCCCCCCACCCGTCCTACTAAATCAACCCCACCCCGTCTACTAAATCCCAGCCCCCACCCGTCTACTTAATCCCATTCCCTCTCTCATCTACTAAATCAGCCCCCCACCCTGTCTACTAAATCCCAGTCCCCCTTTGTCCTACTAAATCCTATTCCCTCGTCTACTAAATCCCATTTCCCGTCTACTAATCCAGCCCCCACCCGTCTACTAAATCCCAGCCCCCCATCCGTCCTACTAAATCCCAGCCCCGCCCGATCTACTAAACCCCATTCCGTCTCTCATCCTGCAAATCCCAGCCCCTGGTCTACTAAGCCCCAGCCCCCGTCTACTAAACCCCTAGCCCCCTCGTCTACTAAATCCAGCCACTCCTTACTAATTTAGCAGACTCTGATAGGATATTGTGTTGCAGCTATTTATTATCAACACAATCCAAATATTCTAAAAAGACAAAAACAATCCATTTGTTGATAGGATTATAAGTAGAGAGTTTTGATCTATGTTCATGATTATGTATTACCATCTGTTGGTGTCTTCCTAGGGCTCTTAGTTAGTATTAATAGAATTTCCAATACAGAACATCAAGAGTAGCTTAGATATTTGCAAAGATGCTGTCAATACACTGCTATGTATTTGTTTTCTCAAAATAGTGTTTTCTTTTCTTAAGAGATTGCACCTCTTTATGGAATGAAAGATAGTGCATCTGAAGCTGTGGCAAATGATGTCTTATACAGACCTCCCAGACGGCGCAACCGCAGGACAAAATGTGACCCGGTGAAAATGCCCCGGATATTTTCAACAGATGTTCCAGTGTCTAGCAGAGCATTTGGGAACCTGCCTATCAGTCATCAACATCACAATCTACTGAAGTCTGGTCTACACCTTGCCAGGTCGGAATTTGTGGACAGCCTAGAACCTTCACTAACACACAACTTAAGCTCTTATATCTGTATTGAGTGTGGACAAAGCTTCTCGTATGAGATTGCTTATGTAGAACATCTAAAATTACACAACCCTGTAAGCCTGGAAGCAGACAGCATGGTTCCTGCAGGGAACCAGAGCTGTGGTTCTAACACTAAAGTGCATAGTTTAAGCCAGAAGAGAACAGGACGAGAATTCATGTGCACAGAGTGTGGGAAAACCTTTATTGGGAAGTCTAATCTTATTGTCCATCAGAGAACTCACACAGGGGAAAAGCCCTATGGGTGCATTTTCTGTGGGAAGCATTTTGGGAGAAGCTCTGTTCTAAGAAAGCATGAGAGGATCCACACAGGAGAGAAACCCTATGCCTGTCTTTATTGTGGAAAACAATTCAGTCAAAATTCAGGTTTGAAGAACCATGAGCGAATTCACACAGGCGAGAAACCATATGCATGTATCGAGTGTGGAAGGCGCTTCAGTCAGAGTGCTGACCTTATGGTTCACTACAGGACCCACACAGGAGAAAAGCCTTTTATCTGCGTTGAGTGTGGGAACAGCTTCATCCGCAGCTCAGACCTTGTTATACACCAAAGAACTCACTCTGGGGTTAAACCTTTCACCTGTTCCGAGTGTGGAAAGAGCTTCAGCCAGAGGTCCCAGATCATACGACATAGGAGAACCCACACAGGGGAGCGGCCCTTTAGCTGCCAAGTCTGTTGTAAAAGCTTCATCCTCAGCTCAGAGCTGAAGAAACATCACAGGGTTCACACAGGCGAGAAGCCTTATAAGTGCAAGGAGTGTGGGAAATCATTCCGCCATTGCTCCAACATGAGCCGCCACCAAAAGATGCACATGGATGGCGAAGTCCTTGCTATATGACGTTACAACCAAATAATGCAGTGTCCATTCATTTCACGTTTAGTTTGAATATTTTCATTCTAGTTATCTTGTGCCGAACTATGTCCATTTCCCCTGGTCTTTTTTTCAGTAATTTTTAATCCCTGAATTATAGTTTTGTCGTGGTTTACTTAGCCCTGATTCTGCTTGCGTGATCTACTCCCTGCTTGCAGTATGTCACATGGATGATGCACATTGCAATACTAATAGATGGAGCATTAAACAACGCTTTCAATAGAAATATATACCTTCATGTATAAAATATTTGATGATACACGGTCTCCTTCTCTGGGAGACCTGCCCTATCTTTGCCCTAGAGGATGCAACTAATTTTCTTCATTCAAAAATATTCTTTGTGTTTTATGTTGTTTGTCCTCAGAATTTGCCTTTTGTATTATTTCACTGAAAATAAACTGTAAATATTTTATTTTGAAAACACATCAAATATACATAGGAAATCACATAGAAATAAGAGGCTTGCACTCAAAGCATGTGTGAAATGAAAATGGGTCGTGAAAGAAGCCCAGGTATTCTATATTATATGCATTGATATACAATGTTTAGTGGATAATATTTATACCTTTTACATGTCTCAGGGTCCCCGATTATACCAGAATTAATTTGATTAATGTAGTATTTGTCACAGTAGTGAAAGAAACTCTCTGTTCACTTCAAACAGAAATGATGTTTGTTAATGAGAAAAGCATTGAGCAGTGGGAACTTTGACAATAGAATCTCGTGATAGGTGCATAGGTCAGGCAGGCGTAAGGAGAAAGGGATCTTATTAGCTTTGAGAGCACAAGCTGTTTAGACCTCCATGGTTCGGCTACTGAAAGGCTATGCACATGGCCTCTAGGGGGCACCATATTGGGAACTCATATGTGGGTGAAACTTCTCAGCTTCCTTCTTATCTAATACAAGAGAACAGATGCCAACCTGTGACCTTTATGAGAAGTCCTGGAGAGGAAGCAGCTGTCCTTTCACATCAGAATTAAAAGGATTGCCTGTTGAGTGATGGAAGAGGACAGCATGATCGAGGAAGGTCGGAGGGTGTCAGCATAGACTGTCACAAACATAACCTCCCCAGGCAGTCATGTGCTTCAGTGGGTGAGAAGGTTAAAAACCATGATTTATCACCACTAGACACAAAATAAAGATTTTTAAAAATCCCTTTTAACAGTACCCACGTTTCAACATAGCAAGCTACCACTACCAGAACAAAAAATGGGGAGTCCTAGGTTCCCACAACCGAATTAGATTAAAAACCCACAAAACATAATTTAGCAAAAATGTCTATGAAACACAGTATTATTATGTAAGTCTTTTCTGTAAAGTGATTCTTATACTAGACAAAAATAAAACATTTATTATGAGCAAAAAGGATTTACAGCGTGTATGAATATATATATATTACAAACAAATGGACAGACACAGAGTAAGTAAAAGAAAACCGTAATAAACACTGGACTTGAAAAGTAATTGAACTCTTGTACTTGAGTATCTCCACTATGTCAGCTCCCTCCATTGTTATCACATGGATTTTATAACTTTTTAATCCTGTCGCAGTTTTCGCCAAAAGTGAATGTCAGCCGCTTTAGGTGGATTTAATATAGTTTGGATACTTTCGTCATCTTTGCAGAGAGAGAGTACAGTTCTTTTCCCCAAACAGTAGCCAAGAGTTAATGTTGGTGTAAACCAGAACAACTTTATTAAGCACTACCCCCATATATTTATATTCCCCAGATGTAGATCGACCCTGCGGGGGGTGGGGGGGGGGGAGCCAGATTAAGAGCCCAGTGGGCCTGGTGCTGACAATTATGAGGGGCCTAAGTACAGAATCTCATCGACCAAAAACACTAAAACAGTCATACCTCTCAAGCGTTATGTATCTGGTGGAGATGTTGCCGAAAGGGAAACTCATAGGATGCAGCTATAAGAAAACTCAGATTCTCTTAAAATATACTTATTTCTCTCTAATTCATACTTTAATTTTTCAAGTAAATCCATACCCCTAACAACAGTGTCCAGTGAAGCAGGAAGTCAATGGACGGTGTAAAAGGATGGGCCGCTGACACGGATCATGTAACCAGAACTCCTGAAAGGAACGAACTTGCCCAAAAAGGAGACGTGTCTGCCCAATGAATTGGAAGGCTAGCCTGGCATGAATGCATGTCATATACACACAAATAGATCAGCGCTAATATATTAATGGATAGACAGCAACAACAACAAAGGGGTTCCCTCTTACCCTTTGAAAAAAAACAGCAGTGTCTTTTTAATACAGTATGGGCTGCGCAACAGGAGATAATAGGATATAAAAATGGGAAATATGTAAATATAAAAGAAAGTCCTGAAATATATAGAGACAAAATCTTTATGTTCACACCAATGGTGTCTTTGGGATATGTTCAGGGTAGAATATGGGTTCTTAGGTTCTGGAAATAGTGTCCATGATCAGTCTCTCCGGTATCCAGTCATATATATAAAAAGGAGAGAAGAAGCGGAAAGGACGCAATAGTGCAATATGTATCGTATAAAGTGGTTATAGTAGAATAGCGATAACATACTCACAATTCACTGAGCTATAGCTAACTCTAGCATCAAGCGCTTGTAGTGGTACAATCCCCACTTCGGGGTATAATGTAAGTATCCTCATTCTTGTGAGCTCAGCGACAACTGGGGATCAAATGACAATCAGGGGTAGGGAGGCGACAATAGTGCTCTCACTAGATAAAAACTGTGTGATAAGAATATAATAAAATGCATTCACAAAGTAGAAAGCAGGCAAACTGCTCTATGGTTTTAGTGGTATTATCCCCACCTCGGATTTCTTCACGCATCTCATTCTGGCTACCGCTGCTCGCCTTCCTCTAGATGTCATCTGACTTTTGTGCAGATGAAAGTTTTGCTGCCCTGGCAAACAGATATTCTTTCACGTACTATAAAGGCCCTTTATTACTTATGCAGTGTAACAAACTGCTTTCTTTGCAAACTGTGGCACAGCCCATACTGTATTTTATACACTCATGAATGCATGTCAGGCTGCCTGCCAATCATGTATACTGGCCAACAGAATCCTGAGTTTGTCATAAATGTGTCTAATGATGCGCTTACTCCATGCTTTCCAAGGACTGTTCCCTAGCATTCACATGTCCACTTGTCTCCTTACCTTCTTACTAGCAGGCAGAAGCTCCTGGTATACAGTCTGAAACAGAGAAAATGTGGATGTAGTGAGTGTAGAAGAAAGCTACAGCAGCACCAGTGTTACTCTGGCCCTGGCAGGGGGTCATCCATACAATACATACCATATAATACAATACAATTCCCTCCCCATCGCCATGATTAATGTTAATGATATTCCCCCCTGCTGTGTCATTTCTAAACAGGATGCCAGGAGTCTGAGCCACGAAGCTCACTTCACCAGTAAAAGATCCCCACAAACCATGCATCCATGGGTAGCTTGCCTTCTCAGCTACCCACTGTCCCAAAGGCGCCCAAATAGGAGGTAACCATACTTTAATCTCTCCCCAGGTTGCAGCAATTCTCCTACCCAGCACAGCGTTCCATGTGGTTTAGTAGGAGCTCCCAGTCTGGTTTTGAGGTGTTCCCAAAATCCACAGGAAGGCAGAACTCCCAACTCCCGGTTATCCTCAGTCGCTTCCTCACTTTTCCGACATCCTCTCCAAGAGCGCTGTGATGTGATGGTTAGAAGACTGAGCAAAACACGATCAAAGATTCACCGTATCGTGGCACATTTCCAATTATAGTTCAATATATAAATATATATTTGTGTTAAGGGCTCATGATAGTACAGAAGATACAAACACTGATAAGTGTGGGATAGTGTGAAAGAGCAAGTCGGTTGTGGTGTGCCGGAACCGACGATGAGGTAGGCCTGCAAATAAAGAGGGCCCACCAATAAGAAATGTATGAGAAAAGGAGTTAATAAAAGAGGAGTGGGTGGGAGGGTGATGCAGCGCTGACCTCGAACGGTATGGAGCCAGGTAAGGGGTGTCCCTTAAGTAGGGAGAAGGTGAGTCATACGCCCCTCCCACAATTACACGCCAAAAGGCCTTAATACTTGTGTTAAGGGCTCATGATAGTACAGAAGATACAAACACCGATAAGTGTGCGATAGTCTGAAAGAGCAAGTCGGTTGTGGTGTGCCGGAACCGACGATGAGGTAGGCCTGCAAATAAAGAGGGCAAAAGTAGAAAATATACTTTATTACGAAACGAGCAATATACATACTTCAACCAGACATATCTTGAAAGGCATTTCTAACTTTTTGTACCGGGTTAGGTATGTATCTAGAGTATGCAGAAGACTTCCAGCGCCCTAGTGACTTGATAACATGTACTGGAATGTTTGCACTGGACGCTGTGGAGGCCGCCCCTATGCGGAAGGAGTGGCCCGAATAGTTAGCTGATTTTAGGCATAGTTGTGTAAGTAGGGACCTGACGTGGGTCATGAAGGTGGTGGTAGTGAGTACCGAACCTTGTAGACAGAAAAGTGGTTGAGATGGTGATGCTTTGAAATGCTGAGTATAGGTGTCCAGTAATGTGACGGGGCACCACACGTTGTGGGTAGGATAGTATCTAACCTCTACCGGGGGTGCGTGTTGATTGGTTTTGGAGTGATGCAGAGCTAAAATATAGTAATCCATGTGTTTCGTTAAGTGTGAATGAAGCAGAATGTGAGTGGACTGGGATGTGTTGATGGCGGTAAATTCTCTTGGTCTCAAGAAACCATAAAAAGCTACGTATATGGCGGTTTTTATAACAAGGTTTGTGTTGTTCGCAAAGGGTTTTGAATCTAGTAGGCTGGATAAATCCTTGAAGATATTGAAGTCTATAGGTAGCCTTTGCGCGGTACGTGGGGGTTCGGATCTCTGGATACCTCTAAGGATGTTTTTATCTGGTAGGAGGACATGAAACTTGTGTTGTTTGGTTGTAATGTTAGCATGTGATGTTGTATGCCTGTCAGATATAGCTTGATTGTGTTGTAAGATAATTTAAGTTTGAGGTGGCAAAAAGAAGCAAAACCTAACAAAGATGTCATGATGAAAGGTTGTGTGACGTTGTGCAGTGACAGGAATCTTTTAAATAGAAGGAAAGCCCTGTCATATGTTCTCCGGGTATTGGTGGACAGTGCTAATTGTGCCAATGTCCTGCTATGTTGCATAATAGCTTCTAGTCCATGACTAGCTGGTGGAAAGGTGGAGTGGTCGTGGCTGTACGCGCGGCTGACGGAAGTATTTGCCGAAAAGCCTGAAAATTGAAACGAGACAAATTGTCAGCAGCCGTGTTACAAACACTTGGGACATGGACACAAAACAAGAAGAAATTATGGCATGCAGCCAGCCAGGTGAGTTTCCTCAAGAACCTCATAATGGTCAGTGACTTGGATCGGCCTTTGTTTATGATGTGGCAGGTAGCTTGGTTGTCTGAGTGGCAACGTACTGACGAACCTGCCCATAGATGCCCCCATGTCACGGCAGCTGCCACAATGGGATACATCTCAAATAGAGCTGAGGTAGTGGAAAAACCTTCCAGGTCCTGTACCTCTGGAGGCCAGCTACCCCAAAGCCATTCATTCCCGTAAATTGCTGCAAAACCTGTGGTAGACGCCGCGTCTGACCAGATGGTAGGTGAGGAGTCAGACAATTTAGGGAGAAACATGCTTTTCCCATTCCAGGTGGTCAAAAAGTTTCTCCACATAAGTAGGTCTGCCGTGGCTTGGGTATCCAGTGGTAACCTGTGTGCATCATGTCTAAACAGTGGGAACATGGTTAGGAGCCGTGAGATGAAAGCCCGGCCTTGAGGTATAATGCGCATGGCAAAGTTCAGTGACCCAAGTAGAGACTGCAATTCTTTGCGATTGCAAGTACCGAGGTGTATGTAGAGGTTAATGTTGGTGAGAATGTTCTCTATCTTGGTGCGTGGCAGGCTGGCTTGCATGGTGGCTGAGTCTAGCATGATTCCCAGAAAGGTGATGACTGTATCTGGTCCTTCAGTTTTGGTGGGGGAGACTGGAACACCCACCTGTTTAAAAAGACTGATGGTTTCTATGAGGCTACTGGGAGGGGAAGTGTTCTCTTCGATCAGTAAGAAATCATCCAGGTAGTGTATAACTGTAGGGCATCTGGCTACATTTAATAATAACCAGCATAATGTTTCGGCGAATACGTCGAAAATGGCCGGACTACTTTTTGAACCAAACGTTAGGCGTGAGAAAAAGTAGTAGTGCCCGGCCCACTTAATGCCATGCAGGTGCCATAGTGTAGGGTGGATAGGCAATAATTTGAAGGCATTTGTAATGTCAGTCTTGCTGAGCCATGCTCCGACCCCTGCCTGCATGATAGCTGTAATGGCGTGATCTATGGTGGAGTATTGAAGTGAAAATTCCTCAGAGGGGATAAGGGAGTTCAGACTAGGTGAGGCAGAGGTGTGAGGTGCAGACAGATCGATGATAAGTCTTTGTTTGTGGGAAGATTTCCCTGTGACAATACCGATGGGGTTTGTCCGCCATGTGGAAAAAGGAGGGGACTGAAAGGGTCCCAATAGGAAGCCCTCTGCCACTTCTTTGGCTATGAGTGTGCTAACCGCTGTAGGGTTTTGTTGTGCAGATTGTAAATTAGGACATTCAAGGATTCCTGAAGGCATGTGTATGAGACCAGTATGGAATCCTTGTGATAGACCAGTGATGATGAAGTCTACCAAATGTCTAGATGGATGTTGTGACAGTAATGCCGTGAGTACAGAAATATTTATCTCAGTTAAGTATTGCTTAGGGTACATTTTATTTGGACACATGGTTTTCGCATGTGCCCTAAAACATTTTGAACATATATGCAATAACCGACAACCGCTGTAATTACATGCACCGACATTGAAATTATTACATATTTGGGACTTCCCAAAAAACTTGATAGGTCGACCCAGTTTGTCTTTGGGTGTTCTCTCTGCTGACACAGCGGAGCTAGTGCCCTGCGAGGTGGTAGGTTCGTTTGCAGTGGTCGGACAAAAATTGGCAGTATGAGCCATGGAGGAGCAGTGTGCACAGGCCGGTGCTCTTAGACCTGCAAAGTGCCTGCAAAAATGATCGTATCAATCTTACTCCAGTTGGACCTTGTCCCGTACTGTGAGAAGGCGCCAGACACTTTGGCAGAAAAGGATCTATGGTAGTCATAGAAAGCTGACCCACCATATTTGTTGCCCAGATCAACCAGCCTGTGCATATATAAGTCAAACTCCTCACGTCTGTGGGGATATACCGTACAGATCACATCCCGATAAATGCCAAAAGCTAATACAAATTCTGGAATGGTTAGCTTCCTATTTAATCGTGCATCCCTAGATTTGACCACCACAGAAATATCGTCATAAGCGTAGGTCTTATGTTCCACTATATCCTGGGAGGCAATTAGTAGTGAGGCCAGATTGACATCTTTACCTTCCAGGATATCTCTCCTGAGGTGCTCAGGAATCATGTGGGCAGGGTAAACCTCTTGGTCATCCGAGGTGATAGCTGGAGAAACTGATTGCGACTCCACCACTGATGGGGGAATTGCCGTGGCCGGTCCAGCCATAGTGAGGGCTGTAGTGACCGATTCAAGTTTCTCCAGCCTAGAATTGACCTTGCTCATGGATGCCATGAGGGACGTGAGCATGTCATGTATGTTTCCTGGGTTGGACTGGCTCGACCCTTCCCCAGCGTCCATGTTATCGGTTGAGGTGTGTAGTAATTTGTAAAGTTCCGCTTTCCTTGCTGTTGCTGGAAAAGGGATTTGTCGTCTCCTGAGTTCGCTAGTGATGCGAGGGATAGTCCATGATCTGAAAGATGCTGGACTAGCCGTATCTTCCTCCTGTGATGGGGTGTTTGTTCTAGCCGGAGTCCTTGGGATGGAGAAATCCTCTACCCCTTCTTGAGACATACTAGATTACAAAGTATATGGTTAGCGTAAAAAACCCCCAGGGGATGTACTGGCAGGCTAATTATGCCGGATGAGGCGAAAAATTAATCTTGTTCTTTGGTGACAGGTGAGGCCCTGCTAGTTGCCAAGTGGCTATGAGAGGCTCTATCTATGCGTTGGCGCGAGGGGTTATTTGAGGCCACCCGACGTAGTGGCAGGAATTCGTAGGCCTCTCGGTGACAATACAAGAAAACAGGGGAAGGGAGTGACAGGTGGCACCCTCTCTATAATTGCGAGGCGGCTAACTCACGTGTGGCCCGGGGGGCATTACCTCCGAAACGTTGAGGCGGGGTGTTGGCCTCGCGGACCACTAAACGATAGGCAGAATGCCCGGAGGGGGGATACCTATTTGGGCCTATAACCCCTAAAATTTGCCAGTACTCTATGTCCTAAGTAGAGGAGGAACCATATGTGATGTATGGCGTGAGCAGGCTTAACGTACCTGGTAGTATGTATGAGTTTGATAAGTGATAGGTAAAGAAAACTGGAAAAACCTAAAGGGATAGAAAACCAGATATGATAGTGTGAGAATTGGATCCTATGATACCAATTTAGACTAGTTAGCTGTGATGAGTGCTAGCAGTACATATGGAAGGGGAATTTATGAATGGTATTGGCCCGACTGGCCCTGTGATGTGGTATGGTAACCATGCTTAGGGTGTGTATGATATGTCTCTATGGTGACAAGATTAATGCGTATGATTTAGTAATGCTAGTGTTTGTAGTATAATAAGGTGCAGGATTTAAAACAATACTGTATATTTTAGGCCGTAAACGTAAGCCATGAAAAGAGGTAAGTACGAGGTACAGAAATATTTGAGAAATTATCCCAAATTAGGAAAACAACGTGACGTATGAGTGGTTGAATCAAGACGTGTGATTCAACCCGAAAGTTTGTGAGATTTTTTGAGACCGTGTTCTTGTGTACTTGGTATGTCGTTTGAGTACACAAAGAAAAAGTCAGAATATATAAGTGCCATGTAAGAAACGTGAGTACATGGTATGATAGAAACGTAATTTCTACATAATTTATAACCTAAATCCTACATGAAATATCTGTAAAAATGTAAAAGCTTGTTTAAGCATAACTCCATAAATATATGTATATAACATGAAGAATTTCAATAAAACTTAATAATGCCATATCTGCTAATAGATTGAACCATAACCTAATAAATACTTATTTATAAGTAGTTAACAGGGGTATTGCCCCAGTCATATGCAAGGATTTCGTAATTTGCATAAATAAATAACAGTAAATAACATGAAACCAACTATAGCGACTGATATTGCAGAACAAGTTTGCTTAGCACAAGAAAAACCGAAACCGACATGCCTGCCGGCAGCAAAGGGGTTAATATGCCTGTGACTTGGCCGTAAAGTAAGGCCGTTTTAAAATCGCGAAGCCGTGGGAAATGATCCGGGCGACGGACTTACGATTTTGCAGTCCTGTGGACTTAATCTGCGACGAAACACCGGGTATGTGCGTGGCTGAAACGGGGCGGAAAACCTGTAAGGATTCCTGGACACAGCTACACCAAACGAAACCGCGGATTTTTTGAAAAGCAAGATGGCGCCGTACGTGAACCGAAAGTGGATTCTCGTGCAGCGCTGACCTCGAACGGTATGGAGCCAGGTAAGGGGTGTCCCTTAAGTAGGGAGAAGGTGAGTCATACGCCCCTCCCACAATTACAGGCCAAAAGGCCTTAATACATATATCTCCAGGTCAGGGGCTCGGTCAGATTCTGGTGATCTATATAGTTCACCCATCTCCAACTGGGGATTAGAACCTTAGTTAATAAGATAAGATTGGGAGCTAATGAAATCTGGCACCCTGTCTGGCATTCTACAGACAGGGTGCTAGAAGATTAGAACACTTCCTCAACACAGCACCTGCAAACCCCATACATGTCCAGATAGCTCAACTCTTCAGCTAACCACTGTCTAAAGAGCAACCAGATCCGAGTTACCCAGCCCACGTGACAACAATTTCAAGATGCCACCGGGTCACTGCCATTCTGTGATCTGGCACATAGTTACGCTGTTTCATCTGTTAAAGCTTCAAATCCACAGAAAACGTCCTAGCACCCTCCCTGGCACTGTGAGTAGTTGCCATTGGATAGAGCAAAAACCCAAGATTTACTTGATCACGACATAGTTCCAGTGCGGTGAATAGTTCTATAGAGTCTCAGGTTATCTCCAAGTCTGGCATTTGGTGTGGCTGTTAGATCCCTGTGATTCTTAGAGTTCATGCAGCTGCAACTAGGGGGTAGAGTAAGCCCCTTGCTCTGCTTATGCTCCCACTGCACAGTGATCATAGCCTTTTTGGTATTTACAGAGTGTTCTGGGATAGGTTCCATAGTGTGTGGGGAGGAGGCTGGCCTACAAACCTCTCCAGGATCGAGGGAAACTGGGTCTAGGAAAAAGGTGGAATTGGGGGCCTACCAAGTACATGCCGTAAAGATTGAAATTAATACAAAATATAGATTAAGGAACAGCACACACCAGTGTTAATTTCGTCAACTAACAATTTATGTCAGAT